TTCAAGGAAAGATTCTTTTAACTTGTGCTTACATGTTTTTGTAAGAGCTGAATTGAAACACCCCATTGCTATACCGTTTTTTACTATCCTTGAATGGGAGGAAGCGTACTGCAACAGGGGCTTCTCTGTTCTAGGCGAATACTTCCAACACACATGGTTCTTTTCAAAAACAAGCTTCATATCTAGGAACTGTAAACAGTTTTCGGTGGGTTGTTCAGATGTAAAAACTAGGCCTTTGCCTCTCCGTCTGAAAGTCTCCATTACACTTGTGGTGACAGCATCCCAGTCTGTGTCTACACCCAAAATCAAATAATCATCAACATATCTGAATATTTTTAAGGACTTGCCACCCAAATCAGAATCAACCAGTCTGTCAACTTTGCTCAAAAAAATTGCAGGTCATCAGGTGGTTGAGTGCAAAAGAAAGGTAGTTTATAAGACCCCCTTCAGTTGTGGGAACTTTTATGTCGGTCAGACTGGCCGATGCTTAAATGTGAGATTGAAGGAGCACATGACCAACTTGAAAGGGAGGCCGGAAACACATTTAGCACTGCACTGTGCGCGTTGTTCTTTTAGTGCATGTAAGCCGTTGTTTGATCAAACTGAGGTGGTGTATGTACACCCAAATCAGACAACAAGAGAAATAGTAGAAGCGTGGCACATCTCTAGACTTAAAGATTTGTGCGTCAGCCATCCGTCGATATCGCTTAGTGAAAAAGAAATTGAATTGCTGAACAACATGTGATATTTGGTTTTTAAGATTGTACGATGCCGTTTTTGCTCATGCGCGGTGATCATGGGGTGCAAGTAAGCGTATATATTCTGTTTTCTTACTGAATAAAAATCAGTTGTTAGTCTGCGCTGGTCCTTGTGTTCCCTTCTTCTGTGTCCTTGTGTGTGTGCGCAAAAACTTCAATGATGCCTGATCATTCTGGTTAATAACTTCATGATATATATATAAGGCAATCACCTGCAAACAACATGATGATTATGTCATCACTTAAGTCATGAGCAATATCGTTTATGTAAACCAAATGAAAGCAGCGGTTATAAGGGGCCAGTCAACAGGCTTAGATTTTTTTTTTACACCCCTTCAAACAAGCTTGGTAATTCGTAGAGTAGACCGCAATCACGTTTACTGAATATTACAGAGCTGCGTGCCGTTCAGAGCCTCCATTACGAAAAACCATTGCCACGCTCCTTTCCTACGCCTGACCAATGCTCCTTCCACACGCAGTGACGACAACTTGGCGATTGGCGACGTGACGCAGCACGCAGCTCGTCGATTGGTCTAAACCAGGTCTCATCAAACAGTAGTGAAGTCGACGACATATCCTATTTCCACGCACAGCTATGACAGAGCTATTTAATCATACGAGTTGCGAAACTCCCCATAGGCTCCATGTATTAAAATCCAGACACGTCACTGGCCCAGTTTTTAGAAATGAGTAAGAGTGAGCAGATTGTCGCGCCAACTCTTGATCAGTACACCCACTATTAAATGCATTATTTGTGTTTTGTGTTGCTGCTCCCAGATGGCACGACAGGCTGCTCCCAAAAAATAGAACTTTTGAAAAATCGGGCCAACTTCATGTCCACGTTCTGAAACGCAGTTTTGCTGCAAACCGTTGTCGGCTGCAAATCGAACGACTGGGCTGCGGAGAAGCATCGGCACCGGGTAAACAGTAAACAACCAGGCGTTATGGGAGTGGGAATACCAAAATTTTCAAATACGAATCGAATAAGAATATATAGCTTCAATTACGAATTGAACACGGAATAATGAATAGGTTCAATTTTTTTCCACCAGCAATCTTTTACTTAATCGTATAATAACGCGATAGCAAGAAAGAGTAGTTTCGAAAAAATTCCGGGGTCGGTGTCAGTATTGTTGAGTGTGAGGGAAAAATGATCATCTTATGCGTGACCGAAAAATAGAGAACGATGTAAATAAAATAAATAAATGATAAAAAATCCTGGAGCAGAGTGGGGACAGAACCAGGGTTGTTTGGGTCCAAGCAGGGATCGAACCCAGGTCATTTGCATGGCAAGCGGACGTTCTATCACACGGCCACGCCTCTGCTTGTGAAAACAGCGAAAAGAACTTCCTCTGCAGGGAAATACAGCAAAAGTAGCTTTCATGCTTCACGAACACGTGTCTGTATACATGCTTCACAATGCAACATGAAATATTGCAGTAATAATGCGTGGTAGAAGCGTCCATTGTCGACAGGTGTCAAAATACGTGAGTATCATAATGGCTCCGTGGTTGAAAGCCGTTACCCCACTACAAAAGGCACACATGCTACTGCGCCTATTCTCTTAAGGCCACGTAGGCGGTGCATAGCAAATTCGAAAAGGTTTCATGTAATAAATGTTTGGACTACGCACTAAGAATAGGATGTCGCTATCGCGTTGAACTCTTAAAGGCGTAGCTTTAGGGTTGAGTAATCTTCATGTTGGAATGTTGGAAACAGCACAATTGTTATTATAGTCAGTTATTGCCCCCCCCCCCCCCCCCAAAAAAAAAACACCATCTGTACTTGCCAGAAAGCATAAGATTGTAATAGTTGAGTTGACTGTGATGTCTTGGGTTCAATCCACATGTTGAGCAAACCTTTTGTATCTTTTATTTTGTGGTAGCACTTCATTACAAAAAAAAAAAACTTTCGTACCTGCCATGATAACATTGAGCATGAGGCCACTGGTTTGATTAAGTTAACAGTTAACATCACTGTACTTTATCCTAAGTGATTATTAAAGCAGCCTAGGTGGTCCCACACTATCAGTTTTGGCTTGAAAGACCCCGATTTTAAGGTTCTCTTTCTAATTTTCTCCCCTGTACTCTCGGGTCAAGCCACCAAAGGAAATAGGAGTACTTGGGGCATTTTTCAACTACACAGCAATACTCGTTATCTCGATTGCTTCCATTGCCTTTCTTGAGGACGGCGTTCGCCATTTTCTGATCAAGAATGCTGTGTTGTGCTGATAGCTGCAAGGCCATGATCGGGGTGTACCAAACGCACAGCAATAACGCGATGTAAGCACATGCAATAGGTGATCACTGATGTGTGATAGAAAGACGACCCAAATATGACTTTTTGTTGATGGAGCCAGAACTCCCGGCAGCCAGGGCACTATTTTGCCGCATCGTGACCTCTTTCGGCGCACTGGCTGCAGATGGCAGTAAATTGACATCGGCAAAAGAGCGAGATTGTAGCAACGGTGTAACAGAGGGTTAATTGCAAGAGATGTTGCCACGTGGGCGCGATGCGCGTACGATAGATTTTCAAAGGCGCTATTGGGAACACATCGAAACTACGGAGTAATCCGTCCGTCACTTTATGTGTGCCACCGTTACCAATGAAAAACTATATGTGATGACGCCATTGTAACGTTACCAAAAGTGCAGTGCCTTTTCTATGTTTGCCATTGCGTGGAAAAACACTTCAACTCATGCGCATGACCATATCCGTTACCATGAAATCATTCCGGAACTATGAAGAGAGTGCACATATATGCTGAAGTAGTGACACGTCAGGCTTCGGCATGTGCACATTTGTACGGCAATTCATTAGCGAAAACTGGAGTGTCTATATATGAAACGCATTACTATCGTATGTCAAGTTGAGCATACCCATAGCTATTTGCATGCAGTGCATGGCCTACTAAGTTCACTCCATCAGCGCCACGCTCTGTAACGTATACGTGTGCATTTGCCCTTGCGTAGAGATTTTCTTTTTTTTTTTTCGCTCGCTCAGCATGGGATGGAGCAATGATGTGAAGACTATTTTATCGAGCCAAAGTGGTGGCGGGGGCGAGTTTTATTCGTTGCTATGAGCAATACGCACTTGCGGTCCTGTGTGCAATGGCGCGGCAGCGGACAGTGTGATCGGTATGCTTACATAAATCGTAACAGCGCTAAACCGCTAAGCCACACGTACTGCTGGGCAGGCAGTACATGATTCAGATTGATTAAGATGTTTCCTGTTGGTAGGTTTGTTACGATGACGTGTCGCCGCATTCATCGGTAGCCGTCGTCACGCTCCCATTAATTTCCATGCAGGCATTACCGCACTTGTGCTGAACTCATAGTAATCACTGCATGATCTGCTGAGGCTCCAATCGCAAATGCACGAAATCTCAAGTTCTTCACAATCACATATACGAACGACTATTCATGAACATTAAATATTCGGGTTAGTAAATCACCTGAAAGCTATGTTGTAGCCCCTGTAACTCTCTTAATATCGCACATCTTTGCAAAATTCTTGCGGCAGCATGTTCAGGAAGTGCACATATTTCCCTTTATAACAATTCTTGGACCTAGGGGCTGTTTACTGGCCCTTTAAAACAGATCCCTGTGGTGCGCCTGAGGTTATCTTTAGCAGATTTGATTTGCCACCATTAATTTTGACATATTATGTTCGACCTGTGAGGTATGAGTAGATCCATACAACAACTACATAATTTATATTCATTTCTATTAGCTTATTTTTAACTTGGTTTGCACAACCGGATGACAAGCTTTTGATAAATGTAATCATATAGCGTCAATTCGTTTCCTGTTATTCAGTGTAGTTTTAAAGTGATTAATTGTTTTCATCCATTGTGTAAGAGTGGATAAATTCCGTTGAAAACTGTACTGATTAGAAAAAAAGCCTTCTTGTTTTCAAGGTAACCCTAGACTGATTTTGAATTTTTAAATGGCGTACCCATTTTGAAAGATCACTAAAGCACACATATTTTGAAATATATTATACATTAATATTCAGCGTTCTGATCACAGCAATATTGAATGTTGCCGGACACAATAAATGCCTCTGCTGTAGCCTGTCAGAGTAGAACTTCACATTACAGACTTTAAAAAAAAGTGCATTGCAGCAGAATCTGTACAGGAAAAAAAGTAAGCCAACTCAAATACACAAGTTCACCATTTATTCCTTGCGTTTGGTGTGCAGTGAACATTCTTTGGTGACCTATGTGGATTTGCATTGCAGGTGTCAACAGGTCAAATGAATCCTCTTTGGAGCCTGAATCCAAGCCAAGCCCAGTGAAAGAGGGAGTCCTTATAGACCTGTGCAGTGAAATTGACACCACCCTGCAGGTTTCCCCCATCCGCAAGTCAATGCCAGCTGTTGGGTTGACGTTCCCCACTGTTGGAGAGTCTATTGCAACCTACTACAATGTCTCGTCATCCAATACCGAGCGCTCCTACTGCAATGTTGGAACGCTGGAAGCTCGGCCCGCTTACTGCAACTTGGACAGCTCTGACCGATACTACTCGTGCGTGACGGCCGACGGCGGTGCCCCGCTGTCTCGTGTCAGCAGTTGCCCCTCGCTGAGCGTCGATGACCTGCTCTCAACGACCAACAATGGCGGCAAGCCTCAAGGACTGCCTTTGCAGGCGGATGCCTTTGGCTGGCTCGACGCCAAGATGGAGGCTGTGCGGAAAGCTCAGGTGACAAAAGCAGTGATGCTGCTCCACACTGCTGCAAGTGTATCACTTTTATTTCTTTTTCTCGTATAATTACCACATTTCAATAAAAAGTGACCACTGCAGTTGGTCCTCATAGCTTTTAAAAAACATGAGGCGAAAAATAAACAGGGAAAGTGCACCACCCATATTCACTTGGAAGGCGCTTACAGAGACTCCACTGGTGCAGTAGTCTTCATTGAATGAGTGGCCATCATGACACTTGCAGCATCATGTGACGTCCCTTGCACCACAAGTTTGCAGGCAGATCATGTAAAAAATAAATACAGGGTACACATTGAAATCGGCTTGCTGCCTGCGTGGTCTCCAATGCATGTTGTGCCCTCCATGCTACCCTGAACCTGAAATTAACTGAAATAAACATCAACCACGAATAAAAACTAATCGAAGCAAGTCGTTTGTGAGCAAGCATCTGTCTTGCTTTTATGCATGGTCTTCACGTCTCTTCCTGATTAGTCTCCTGACTGTGCTACCCTGAACCATGCAAAGCGCATCGGCCACATTGTGCAGGCCAAGCCAAGGTTGCTGGGTATCCTCTGTGTGCACATTGACAGTCACTACATGTTTTTCCCTCTGCATTGACTTGATGACAATACCGAGCCAAGCCATACGTGCATTTGCCCCACTGCTCTTTTGTGAGTCGTCGAGAGTTTTAATGTGGGCTTCTTGGTGATGCATTTGAAAGAATTCTTTCAAATTCTTCAGTTATTTTAGTGGTGCTAGGGGTTTGCATGCATCCCCATAGTATATGGCAGCAGTTCTCAAAGTGGGTTCCGCAAGCCCCTTCGCGGGGTTTCGCGAGCCACTGATAATTTTTTTCTGATTCCGCATTCACCCACTCGACTCACTTAGATGGTGATCCTGATGTGTGATTGATCTAGGTAACCTCCGTTATTCACACCCGAGCGTCACTAAGCACACCTCAGTGCTTGTATTCCTATTGCGATAGCAATTATATGGACAGTCTCGGCTGGTTTTTTGCAGTTGCCACCACTGACGCTGTTATTCACGTATATGTATATGTATGTATATATATACAAGGAAGAATGCGCTAGCCTCCTCCTTCTGCGTTGCAAACATTGCCTTTTCCGCCGTGGTCATCTGCGCCCACGCTTATCTTGTGAGCGAACAAGGGGATGGGGGTTCTTACGGTTTCCGCGCTATCGCGGCAATGATAAGCGCCCGCCTTGTGCCCCCACAGCAGGCAAGAGCGTCTCAGGCCTGCGCTCTCAACACAATAAAATGGTGCCAAGAGTATACCTGGAGCGGCCGCGTTTCCTTACAAAGACGTTTTGTAGAGTTACGCGACATCGAATATGAAGGAGTTGACTGGCAACCTCACTTCGTATAACATTGCATTTGTTCCTATCGCATTCATTGGTTCACCTTTTCGGTGAAACTGATGTTGTGCAATCATCCCTGACTCAGTCTCGAATTGCACTTGACGGCATGCGCACGAGAAAGCTTCTTGATACACAGCTAGGTATCCAGTGGCTATGCACTTTTGGCAGGTTTTGTACCGTTTGTCAAAAGTCTATCTCGTTCATCTGTACCTGTGATTACGTTTCATGCGTCATTTGTGCGTGAGACAAGCACGGCACGTGTCGACCTGTTTGCCATTCTTCGCATGGCTTTCCAATTTGTTGCTATCGTGTTCATTGCTTCTTCTTTGCGGCAAAGCTGTGACATTTATGAAAAATAAAAATGAAAAAAAAAAACTGCCGGGGGGAGGGAGGTTTTTTGCACTTAATGTAGCTTAGCATGGTTTCCTGGCACCAACATGCTTGAGAACCCCTGGTATATGGTATAGGCTGTCCGAGACATCACAGTACTTGCAACTGTGCGAGTGCCAAGTTGGTGAGAGAGTGTGCCGTAAACGTGTTCGTTTTCAGCTTCCTGTGGCCTCTTCTCTAGCTAGGCTGAAGGGAGCTTGCAAATAAATTATTCTGCCTGGCCTGTAAGTGCTGCAAGATTTCACTGTTCTTTTTGGGTACATCTCCCTTTCGCCTCAGTGCTTACTGTGGGAAAGCTCAGTGAATGTCGACTTGGCTAGAAATGCAGCTATCTCATTTTCCATCAGGCACTCGTGACCTGGAGTCCAAATGATGTACGTTTCTAGTAGTAGTATGTTCTTTGCGGCAGCTGTGAGAGCTGTAAGGCCTGCCCGTAAGTTCTCCTGTTTCGACAAGCTGCTTGGTCAACGGTTAGTATTGCTGCCTCTGCACAGGCTGAGATAGCCAGGACTATGGCTTTGTGGATCTCTGCTGTGTCGAAAGATGCTAGCTACCATTCTCTCTCTGCCTTCGCTGATGACTATGCTCACAGTGTGTGCTGGAATTCTTGGATATTTCGCTGCATCGGTGCACCTTATGTCCGGATTTCCTCTGTAGTCTTGTCGAAGTTTCTTTGTTCTGGATTTTTCTTTTTCAAGATGCTGAGTAGAGTGCATATTTTGTAGGATGCGGTTACTGCGATGCACTATAAAAATTTCGCTGGGATATTTCTTTTCTCATCACATTGTTGCATGGCTTCAGGATAGCCCAATCTTCAAATTGTCACCTGCCCTGTTTTGGCGAATCTAGGATATTCAAGCTGGTTTACTTTTTGTGCTTCCACAATTTCCTCTCAGGTGTTGTTGAGAGAGAGAGAAATAACTTTATTGGGTTGAAAAAAAAGGGGTTTAGGAGCTAGATGGGTGGGGCCCCATGTCCAAGGCTCCACTGGCTTGCGCCGCCTGCCGGACGTGGTCCAGGAGTGCCAGTTGCACCTCCGGGTCCGAGCTAGTGAGGAGTGCCTCCCATTGCTCCAAAGAGTTTTCCATTCTATACATACGCTGTAAGCGATCAAGTTCATTTTGCCGTTTAGCACAACGCCACGAGATATGGTAAAGGGTCGGTGGCGAGTCGCGACGCCACGGACAATTGCGCCCATACAAAGTTGGATGAATTTTGTGCAGTCGTAATAAATTTCGATAAACTCCCGTTTGAAATTTACGAAGGTCTATGGCGTCTTCCCCTTTAAGAGATTTGTGGGGGGTGCCCTATTTCTGCCGCGTGCATCGCTGGTGAGCAAGGAGCTCTCCCGGAGCCATCCAAGCCGGGTCGTTTTCCTCCTCCTCGCGAAAGCCGTCGTTGCTGGGTGGTGGTAACAGCGAGAAAGGCTGCTGCTCCGCACGGTTCGTGAGCGCTCGAGCTAGAGCGTCCGCCCTCTCGTTACCCTCTAGGCCTGCATGTCCAGGGCACCAGGCCAACCTATAAGTGTTGCTCAATTCACTGTCTAAATATTTGCAAATGTTTAATGGGAGGCGGTCTTTCGGGAATAGCCGGCACGCCTTTTGCGAATCTGAGAGTATGGTGATGTACGTCTGGCCGTCACTGCGCTCTCGACTTTTAATCGCCAATGCGATGGCAAAACACTCGGTTTTGGTAATCGATGTAGTGTACAGTGATGCGCTGGACGCTATGCTTCTCGCGTCACTGCTTACCATTGTGACGACGCAGCGCTTTCAGTTATACCTGGAAGCGTCAACGTATAGCACGTTCTCATTGTCTCTGACTAATTTTCTGATCCATTTTACATGCTCCTCTCGCCTTTCGTGATGCCGCTTCTTGGTCATGTTCTTGGGGATAGGGGCGATCGAAATATGTCGTCAGACTGGGTCTGGTACGTCTACCAGCTCCTCATCCAAGTTTTTGGGGTTGCGGTGGTATACCTGCCCTCATCAGTATCTCTCTTCCTGACTTCGTCTGGCTGAGGCGGTTGCGCTGAGAGATCAATGTTGCTGCTTTCAGTTCAGCGTACGTGTTATGCAGGCCAATCTCGAGAAGCCTCTGTGTCGGAGTGCTTATCGGTAAGCCTAATGCTGCCTTGTAAGCCCCTCTGATGATAGAATCTGCTTGCTCTTCCTCGCTCTTGTTCAGCGTGTGGAAAGGCAAGCTGTATGTCAATTTTCTCATTACGAGCACCTGCACTAAACGGACAGTATCACTTTCTTTTATGCCTTTTATGTGGAAGGTGATTCTCTGAATCATCCTAGCCACTTGTTTAGTTGCCGATTTAAGAAGACCGATAGTGTGATTTGCCCTACCGTTGCTTTGAACTCAAAAACCCAGGATCCTGGCGAAGGTGACTTCTTTAATTTTCTGCTTTTCGATTTCAATTTCTATTTTTTCGTTACTTTTGTAGCGTTTGCTGTGTATTCTGATCAGTTCCGATTTTTCGGGTGCGCAGCTGAGACCACTGGTTTTGGCAAAGTTTTCGACAGCCAGTGCCGCCTCTTGCAGAGTGTGCTCTTTGCTGGCCAGGGACCCCCGTGTGGCCCACAGAGTTAATGTCGTCCGCGTAGAGGGTATAACCTAGCTGTGGTACACAATCCAAGGCCCGAGCGAGTCGACGCATGGCGATATTAAACAACAGAGGAGATATTATGGCTCCTTGAGGCGTTCTCTTGTCTGGCATTCGGAATGGCTCAGACCTAACGCTTGAGATACCAATTGTCGACTCTCGATCTGTGAGAAAATCTTTTATATAGTTATATATCTTTTCCCCGCAACCAATTATATTTAGCTCTGAGAGTATGGCTTCATGAGAGATATTGTCAAAAAGCTCCCTTCAAGTCTAGAGCAAGCAGCAAATGCTCTCCACCTTTGGGAACGCCCTTGAGGACCTCTTCTTGTATCAGGAGAAAAGCATCCTGTGTTGAGAGACCACTGCGGAAGCCCAGCATGTTGGTCGGAAACAGCCCCCTGTCCTCTATGAAATTCTGAAGTCTGTTGTGAACGACCCGTTCGAAAAGCTTCCCCATACAATGACGTAAGTGATATAGGTCTGAGCGCCTGCTGGGAGGGCTTTTTTCCAGGTTTCGGAATTGTTATAATTTTGGCGGTTTTCCATTCTGCAGGAACCTTTCTTTTGAGCCAATAGTGTTCATTGAATTGTTTTGTCATGCCTTCGATGGCTTCGTC